CAAACACTCACCTAAGTTGGTCAAACTTGCCTAATCTTAGCTGTGGCAATCTTTGGCTAAGTTAGTCACAAACCAAACAGCCCCTCAGTACCTGAATGTCAATGCAATGTATTAGCATCCGGTCACAGGCAGGTGTAGTATGATAAAAGATCGGATTATATCTTCAAAACCATGCATGTGCAGCCTCATTATATCTCTGACGTACAGAAATATGTAGCAGTTCGCAAGAATTTCTCGGGAAATGATGGAAAACAGGAGTCGGGCTTTTTTCTTCGTGTTTTCAGGATAGCCTCCATACACCTATGGGAATCAATATCAGACCACCGAAATCAGGAAGGTAACTTGAAAGGGGAAAAATGAAGCACTCACCAGGCAATAGTGCAGTTCAACTATCTCTGAAGTGTTGCAGTGTCTGCCGAGCATGATGATGAAAAACAGTTCCAGAAGCTATAGATCTTAGCCATTGTTTGCCCGTGTACATAGCCTGCAACACCAGTGTTTTCTTAGAGATTTGGCATCTTTATGTCACAAAGAGTACCGATCTGTCAAATCCGTTGTTGTTTTTCAGAATATCTGATTGCTCATTGATCCCTGCAGTGCAGTTGACTCTCAAGAAATGTCCAATAAATGGAACCAAATTGGTTTCTTGACTTCCCATGAAGATAAGACGCCCTGTGCAGGTTCACCAGCTTGTTAATCACTGCTCGGCTGATGACGAGCGATGTGACATTTGTAGTGATCGAAACCTGTAGTTCAAGGTGCTTGGTGCCGAAGCTGCCATTGCCCAGCAAGAGGGAAAACTGGATCGCCTTGCTCGATGCCGGAATCGTAGCCAGGCCCGTGGGAGACATGGCTTGCGCAGGCACTGGCTCAGCCGGCAGCGACTCCGAAGGGCATGTGATGTGACGCATGTCTGCGTTGGCGAGGGATGCAGAAGCTCTTCCATCGCTTGGCGCAGCTCTGAAGCCATACGGCCCAACTTTATAGATCACTGTATTTTAAATGGCATTAACAACTTCAGTTAAGTTCATCTCGTTTCAAAGTGCACAGCACAGCAGAATTTATTTCAAATCCATCTTCATACTTCCACATATAACAATCTTGCTCAAAATCTGTAAGAGGAAAAAGGAACCAACCGAAAAATCTTGCTTGAAACCTCATACAAGAAAAAGCACAATGAACTGAAGCGGCAACAAAAAGCGTTGCAAATTGTACCTAAAGACAAAGACAACCCACTGAGCAGATGAAATAGCAAACCAAATCTGACGATAAACCGATCAGCGCGATTTTTCTAAAAAAGGTAAAGAAAATTGAACGTATCACAGTGAGGAGACATAAGATCAAACACCTCATGAGCGTGAACAAACTGACACAGGCAGTGAAAGAACATGCGGTGCCCCATGTTTGGTTTTGGTAATTGATGACAATCTTTATGGACTAATGGTTGCCTTGAGTTATATTTGAAAGTTTTGTCCATAGGCTTTTCTTGGAGTACATGTGTTGGTTTCAAGGAGAGTTTGTGTCGACCAAGGTGCTATTCAAAGAATTATGTAAAGATTGGTTTTGTGAGAGGTTGATCAAGACTAAGTCAAAGAGTGAATCAAGTTGATCAACCCACAAAGCGTAGAAGATGTATCGAGAGGGATCAAGTGATCCCATGGTATGGTAAGCATTGTCAATTACGCTTTGTGTACTAACCCATAGTCTTCGTGAGGGTTCTTTGTGGGGTTAGATTGCGGTGTGCAAGTTCAAGTGGAGCATCACGAAGAGATCAAATGCTTGAAGCTTGCCGTCCTTTGTGGTGACAATGAACTTGTGAAGATGTGCGGAAGAGTGGCTCACCCATAGTGGAGTATGGGGGAGCAATCAACTAGTCTTCATCAAGTCAACACAATCAAGAAAGGTTGCGGTGTGCAAGTTCAAGTGTAGCATCATGAAGAGATCAAATGCTTGAAGCTTGCCGTCCATTGTGGTGACAATGGACTTGAGAAGATGTGCGGAAGAAAGGCTCACCCATAGTGGAGTATGGGGGAGCAATCAACTAGTCTTCATCGAGCCAACACAATCAAGAAGGGTGGTCCAACTTGAGGGAGTCAAGATCATCATCATCTAGCTCAAGTAGACCATGTGCAAGGTAAAGGTTTGCCCTTGATAGGTTTTCTATTTTACCGGTCTCATGATGGTAGTTGGGAGACCGGGTTATAGGATCGATTGCCATACTATCAAGGGGGGCTCTCAATGAGTAGCTTGATCGTATCGTTCGTTGAGAGGTCAAACCATTGCATCCTTGCATCATCTTTCTTGGTTCTTGTTTGGTTCTCTTTGTGAGTCTTAGAGCTTACGGTCATCTTGTTGACAAGCTTGAGTTCATCGAAAACGGTGTTCGCTTGCATCTTCTATGATGTTTTTGATGTTGGAGGTTTTGCCGGTTCTTCTCGGTTGGAGGTTTCACTCCTATTTTTGTTAGGCATACCTCCCCTGCCTCTTCTTATTATAATCAGTCGCTGTTTTGATGCTACTCGTCGTCTTGTTTCCAACAAGCTTGAGTTTGCTCAATTCGGAGCTCATATGCAGAAGTTATGGCAGTTCTGGTTTTCTTGAGTGTGGTTTTTGTCAGGGTCCCAGCGGTAGTACCGTGGTACCCAGCGGTAGTACCGCTGAGGAGTCACAAGCGGCAGTACCGCTCCGCAGCGGTAGTACCGGCGGTGACTCCGCAGCAGTACTACCGTTGGCTTACCAGGTCCCTACCGCGTCGATTCGAGGGGTCTTTTTCTGTGTCGGATTGTGCAGTACCTCGCTGCGGCAGTAGTGCGGCAGTACCGCTCCTTAGCGGCAGTACCGCCCTTCCTCCGCGGTAGTACCGCCCGGTTCCCTCTTTCCCTTTCCCCTTCGTTCTGCGCGGCAGTACCACCGAAGGGAGCGGTAGTACCACTTAACCCAGCGGTAGTACCGCTATCTCCTGCGATACTACCGTCCCAAGGTTCATGTTTTGTTGCTCCTTTTCCCTGTTTCTTCCGCCTGAGCGGTAGTACCGCTCATGGAGCGGTAGTACCGCTCGTGTGCGGGCTGAGCACATAACGGTTGGATTTCCCCCCTCCTATAAAAGGGGGTCTTCTTCCCATTGAACCTATCCTTCGAGCTCGTGTTCTTCCCCCATTGTTGACCTTCTTCGAGCTTGCTAACTCTCAATTCCTCCATGGTTTCTTGCTAGTTTTTGAGGAAAAAGAGAGAGGAGATCTAGATCCACATTTTCACCAATCACTTTCTCCTCTATGTGAGGGGAACCCCTTGGATCTAGATCTTGGAGTTCTTTGTGTTTTCTTTCTTGTTCTTCCTCTCATTTTCCTCCCTAGCATTAGTTGCTTCAGTGGGATTTGAGAGAGAAGGACTTGGGCACTCAGTGTGCCCTTGCCATTGCATTTGGTGCATCGGTTTGAGTTCTCCACGGTGATACGTGGAAGTTACAAGTTGAGAAGCTTATTACTCTTGGGTGCTTGGTACCCTTGAGCTTGTTCCTCTTGGGTGCTTGGGTGCCCTAGACGGTTGTTGGTGTTCGGAGCTCAATCATTGTGGTGCAAAGCTCCGGGCAAGCGTCGGGGTCTCCAATTAGGTTGTGGAGATCGCCCCGAGCAATTTGATGGGTACCGGTGACCGCCCTCAAGGGTTGCCAAAGTGTACGGGTTCGGTGACCGCCCCCAAGGGTTGCCATTTGTACGGGTTCGGTGACCGCCCTCAAGGGTCCCTTAGTGGAATCACGGCATCTTGCATTGTGCGAGAGCGTGAGAAGATTACGGTGGCCCTAGTGGCTTCTTGGGGAGTATTGTGCCTCCACACCGCTCCAAACGAAGATTAGCATCCGCAAGGGTGTAAACTTCGGGATACATCATCGTCTCCTCGTGCCTCGGTTATCTCTTACCCGAGCCCTTTACTTATGCACTTTACTTTGTGATAGCCATATTGTTTCTTGTCATATATCTTGCTATCACATAGTTGCTTATCTTTCTTAGCATAAGTTGTTGGTGCACATAGGTGAGCCTAATTGTTTTAGGTTTTGTGCTTGGCAAATTAACCGCTAAGTTTATTCCGCATTTGTTCAAGCCTAAACCGTAATTATTTTAAAACGCCTATTCACCCCCCTCTAGGCGACATCCACGATCTTTCAGGCAGGAATCAAAAATCAACACACAAACATCCATGGATATGCATGAGCAGACCACGAAACGCTCCTTGACGACGATGACAAGCGGAGAATAGAAAGCAGAGGAGGGGCCGGTCCTGCACATCAAGAAATACAGAGAGATGATTGGGAACTCACCTCGGCTTGATGTCCTCTCCACGTCTCCCTCTGCTGCGGTTTGCGGCGGTTCACGCTCGCCGAATTGAGCGCCAACAAGGAGGGAAGGACGGAGCGCAGGCCGCGGGTGGAGGAGATGGAGCTCGGGGCAGGAGATGGAGGGCATGAGCGTGGGGGAGGGCGGCGGCGGTAACCCTAACTGGGAGGAGACGTTGGGTGCGAACGGAGAACGAGCGATTGAGGAGATTGAGTTTTGTTTCTTTTCTTCCTTCGATATACAGTGTACCCCTCATGCCATTGGTTGCGCCACACAGTGCGCCTCTGCCCCACGTGGCATGCACGAGTAAGCCCCTTTGATGCACACCTTATTGTTTTGGATGAGCAAAGTGAGACAATAATTCATATTCATGGTCTGTTTATTGTAGTATTACCTCTATTTTTTTTGGAGGAAGTAGTATTACCTCTATTTATTCATAATAAAACCCTGTTAAAAACTACTGATAGCTAATTTTGAATTGGAAGGGGTAGATATTTAAAAAGACTGTACATGATTTTTTTTCTTCTTCTCTTGAATATTCGTGGGTTCAGCGGGTTGTTCTCCAATCTTCCGTAGCAAGGCTCTCGTCTCTTCTTCTTCCCGCTCTGCTGCTCCGCCGCTCAGCTACAAACCCCACCCCCAAATCCAACCCAATCCCGCGCGAATGCGATGGAATCCTCTACCACCAACACGACCACGCCACCGGCGGCAGCCGCCAGCAAGCGGAGGCGGAACGCGGCGCTGCCCCTAGGGGATCTGACCAACCTCCTCCCGAGCACCCCCGTCCCGAGAAACCCTAGCGCCAAGCGGCCCCTCCGGCCGCCGCGCTCCGACGCCTCCGCGTGCATCTCCTCCGCGTCGGCCACGCCCGTCTCCAAGGCCTCTTCCGCCGCCGGTGAGCTCACTGCCCCAATCTCGGCTCAGTCCTTAGTTAACTAGCAGCAGCATCTTAGCTAGGCGCGCCGATTTCCTTCACCATTGTCACACCGCAACGCCTTCTCCGTTCGATTGCTGAGGTGCTGTGGATTATTTGCTTCTCCTTGCGTGGCACCAATTTGAGTTTCTGACTCTGGATCTTTGCAGCTGTTGAGGAGCCGGGTTTGGTGAAATCGCCCATCTCGACGATTTACACGAGTCGAGGGACCCGGGGGAGGAGAAATCCCACCAGTGTCAAGGCGCCTTTTCCTACTGGAGCAGCAGCAAGTTGCCCCCCTCTTGGGAAAGCTACAAGGGCCGGCAGGTGAGCAAGTTGATATGTGCCTCGGGCAATTTAGTCCCCTTTCGTTCAGAACTGACTTGCATTTCATTACTTCGGTTCAGAGTTCAGACCCTGCAGCTCTACACCTGCTTTTGTGCTATCCATTGTGTGATTTACTTATGATAAGCTTCTGCCGTGAGATAGTTCATTTCGATTGCTGTATTTAGTTTGTCTTCAAACCAGACCAAGTACAACAAGAAAAGCACAATCAATATGTGTCTTTTGGGTTTTCAAGAGAATGAAGTTATCAAATCATATACTATGTCATTAGTAATAGGGGTAACTGGATAAGTAAATGTTCCCAGATGTCCAGATATCTGCAAGTTCCGAATGCAAAGTCTGAATATTGGCATAGCTAATGCTTGCAATGTGAGCGTATTTAGTTAACTCAATTGCACCTCCCTTTCAGTCACTCAACTAAGAAAGCCCCAGCAGCTCAGGATCCTTGTCCTATTTCATCCTCAGCTCCTTGTCATCAAGCTAAAAAGGTAAGCAGCAGTAAACTTTGAGCCATTTTCCAAGAATTTTTCCTTGACCGCCATGCTCTCTTTGACTGATCTTTATGATACGAATATTAATTATGCTTGCTGTTTGTAGCTCATGATTTTGCCCAAACTTTGTCATTCAGTAATATGTGACAAGTAAATGGTAATAAGGCACATATTGATTTTCTGCTTCATGCTCCTTTTCATGTGTATCTCCTATGCGGCATTTATTCAACACTGTATATGAAGACATGCTTATTTGAGTAAATGTTGACACCTCACTTGTATGCTGTAGAGCAAGTACCGGCACCATAGTGTCGGTATCACACAAACTTAAGAAAGCAGCTCAAGGATTATGTATGTTTGGTCCATCTAAATATCCGCTGATATTGTTTTTATTCTGAATGTGAAGGACTTAAGTAGTACATGCGCTAGTCGAAACATCAGTGCTTAAGCCTACTGTATAAACAGCCTTCCACAGAATCAACCTTAGGAACAAAAGTAAAAATGTTGGGACCCTAGCAACAGTGATTTCACCTTGCTGATTGCTTGAATTTCTGAACAGAAGAAGAGGCAGTTGGGGGTGGAGAACTCATCTTCTGGCAGACCCAAGTTACCAGATGATTTCGTCGAGAAGCAGAGAGCATACTTCCAGGAGATCGACGCCTTTGAACTGCCGGAGGAAGAGGCCTCAGAAACTGACTGACCTGCATCGAAAATCAAGCCTTATCCGTTGATCATGTACGATACAGCTGTACAGAAATGTACTCGCGCGGGTTACTTTTATAGGACAACTGCGAGTTATGAAGTAGGAACAGACAGTCCTTGTAACATAGGTGGTGTGCTTTAGTGATCACTGATGCTCAGTTTCGCGTGTTTGTAGTTGTTGTATTGATGTCTAGTAGGATATGGTTGTGTTGGGACATGTCCTTGCAAGTTTTTCTGTGTGTGGAAGGAGCCATGTCCTTGCAAGTTTGTTTCCCCAATGTATGTACATTGAGCTAAAATGATGTAATGAATGGAGTTATCCAGCAGTTACCTTTAAAAGTTGCAAAATAGCTTCAGCCATCTCACGATGACTACTCAGGTTAGTGAAGATGTGGTATGATAAGGGCATCTTCAAGGTGGACCCGCAAACCTTCCGTAACCTTCCGGACTGCGATGTCGGTCCGGACTGCGGAAGCCATTCAACGACGATCTGTATCGGTTCGTGGAGCGGTCCGGAAGCGATTTCTCGAACTGTTCCCAAGTCTGCTTCTGACTACCCTGACCCATCAAAAAAACCCTCCCTCCTCTCCGTGTGCTCCCACCCGGCGCCACCTGTCTGCATTCATGCTGCTGTAGAGCGTGCCGCTCCGGATAGAGGAGGGCCGGTGCGACCTCTCATTGCCTGTGCCATTGAAGCGGAGTGCTGGCTGCACGCCCGGCTGAACACGCCTCCTCGTCGCATTCATACACCCTCATTAATCCCGCGTGGAAGTCGAGAAACATACTTCGTTCCACACGTCCGTTCATGGGCGGGTCGGCATTAAATGCAACGCCGGCCGAGCTCCTACCGTCTGCTGTCTATTTAAATGAGGGTAGACGTCGGGCAAGAACCATACCCCTCCGCCTCCTCCCAATCTCCTCCACCACTCTTCTGATGACTTTGGAAGATCAGTTCTTCGACGCACAAGCCAGCTGGGTGGCCCGCCGAGCCGACCGGATACGAGCGAGGCAGCTCGCTACTCCACCTCCCGAGCCTCACTTGACGGAGCAAGTTGTCGCCCCAAGCCGCCGCGTGGTTCAGCAACTCGCCGCTCTAGGCCCACTCGATGAGGAGTGGCTAGTTGCTCGACGCCGTCACAGCGGGGAGCACAGCGGCACGAGCATCATCGCTGCCGTCGACGACCGCGCCTCCCACATCTGCGGCCGCGCCTCCCGTGCCTGCGACCGCGCCATGCAGGTAGAGGCAGAAGCCGGGTGCACGGAGAGCGACGAGTGGGAGGCCAACGCCTCCACGTCCGTCGCTATCATCGAGGAGAAGTAGAACACGGGAGTCTGCCGCCGCTTGGGTCCCACGAAGGACACCGGCGTACACAGCCAATGTCTTGCCCGGTTCTTCTCTTTCGAGGACCTTCGTCGATCCCACATGGGCTTCACGGAAGCACATGCACCGCCTTCCCCTCCCGCTGAAGCATCAGCCGGGGGTTCCACTCCGATGGCTGGTGGGGAAGCGAGCCGTCCTTTGCGCTAAAGCATATACCTCCAGGGGTCCCGACAATCCGGTGATCGGGCTGCCGGACATTAGGAAGACAAATGGATCCGCGGACGGTGATTTAGATTAGGTATTAATTATACCTTCAGAGCTGGATATAACACCCTCGATGCGACTATATCTCCCACGCGTCGAGACACGACTTAGAGGCATAATCGCATTGAAGGCATATGTCGCAAGTTAGGAAATCTTCACAACATCCCATGTAATATAAATCATAAGGGGGAGATAACATAGTTGGCTTACACTCGCCATGTCAATCAAGTACATAAATAACATTACATCATCCAAACACTCATGGCCCGACTACGGCGCCAAAACAAAAGAGAACCCAACATGCGACACGGTCCCAATCACCCCCAACTGGGCACCACTACTGATCATCGGGAAAGGAAACATAGTAACGTTGAGAGTCCTCGTCGAACTCCCACTTGAGCTCAAGTGCGTCTCCTGGAGCGGAATCATCAGGCCCTACATCTGATGTAATAGTAATCTGTGAGCCACAAGGACTCAACAATCTCGCACCCTCGCGATCAAGACTATTTAAGCTTATAGGTAAGGCAAGGTAAAAATATGTGGAGCTGCAGCAAGCGACTAGCAAGTATGGTGGCTAATCTTATTCGCAAAAGAGAGCGAGAAGAGGAGGCAAAGCGCGAGCGAGAAACTAGAGAACAACCTGCGCAAGCATTACTCCAACACCGTGTCCACTTCTCGGACTCCGCCGAGAAGAGGCCATCACTTTAACACACTCAGTTGATTCATTTTAATTAAGTTAAGGTTCAAGTTATCTACAACCGGACATTAACAAATTCCCATCTGCCCATAACCGCGGGCACGGCTTTCGAAAGTTCAAATCCCTGCAGGGGAGTCCCAACTTAGCCCATGACAAGCTCTCACGGTCAACGAAGGAATAGACCTCCTCCCAATACGTTCCGATCAGACTCGGTATCTCGGTAATTCAAGACACTTCGACAGGTTAAAACAAGACCAGCATCACCGCCCGAATGTGTCGACAAATCCCGATAGGAGCTGCACATATCTCGTTCTCAGGGCACACTCAGATAGGTCAAGCTACGAGTAAAACCAACCCTCAAGTTTCCCCGAGGTGGCCCCGCAGGCTGCCCGGTTCGGACCAACACTCAGAGGGAGCACTGGCCCGGGGGGGGGGGGTTCAAAATAAGATGACCCTCGGGCTCCGGAAACCCAAGGGAAAAAGAGGCTACGTGGCAAATGGTAAAACCAATGTTGGGCATTGCTGGAAAAGCTTTAATCAAGGCGAACTATCAAGGGGTTCCCATTATAACCCAACCGCGTAAGGAACGCAAAATCCGGGAACATAACACCGATATGACGGAAACTAGGGCGGCAAGAGTGGAACAAAACACTAGGTGAGAGGCTGAGCCTTCCACCCTTTACCAAGTATATAGATGCATTAAGATAACATAGCAATATAATGATATCCCAACAAGTAAATAAATGTTCCAACAAGGAACGGCCTCCAATCTTCACCTGCAACTAGCAACGCTATAAGAGGGGCTGAGCAAAGCGGTAACATAGCCAATCAACGGTTTGCTAGGACATGGTGGGTTAGATGTTTGACATGGCAATTTGGGAGGCTTGAAAGCAAGTGGTAGGCATCGTAGCATTGGCATAGCAAAAGAGCGAGCAAACTAGCATAGCAAAGATAGTAGTGATTTCGAGGGTATGATCATCTTGCCTGCACAGTTGTCAGAGTTGACTGGATCCTCGAAAGCAAACTCAACGGGCTCCTCGTTAGCGAACTCGTCTCCCGGCTCTACCCAAACAAGACAAACAAGCAACAAAGATACAATCAACCACGTGCAAGGATCAAGCAATATGATGCAATGATGATATTCTATGCGGGATGCAATGCGGGATGCAAAATGCAAGATATGACAGGAAATGCATGAACCTGGCCTCAACTTGGAAATAAAAGTATGCCACTGGAAAGATGAGATGAAATCGCTTGAAAACGATATAAAGAACGTCAGAATCGGAGTTACGGTTTGGAAATGGCAAGCGATTCAAATATGACACTGGTCTGCGATTTACAGCAAGTAGCCAACTAAATGCAACGAAATAAACATGCTACAACACCCAAACATGACAACAAAATACATGGCAGGGATGCCTACAAGATGCTTAACAAAAGTCTAGCACTGAGTTACGGCCTAATCATCCATTAACAGGTTCAAACAAGCATGGCAAAAATGCATATGGCAAACAGATCTCAGACTTAGTGAAATTATCACTTGTCTGGAATTTCAGATCAGGGTGCACTCTTCGGAGCAACAAAACTACATGCTACAGGACCTGAACATGGCAAAGTAAAGCATGGCATGGAGCTACTCAAAGAGCTTAACAAAAGTCCCTTAGTGACCTTGAGCTAAAAGGGATCAGAAAATACAATTGCAAGCATGTGAACATAGCAAAAACATAATCAGTTTTCAGGCTTAGTGAAAAACTGGCACATGCTGAAAACATAACTCAAGTAGGCATGTTTACGAGCTCGATGCACTCACCACAGTGCAAGTCATGGCAAGACAAGTATACACCCATCAAGAAGGCACAAAATGCAAGCTAGACATGGCAAGAACAATAGCATAGCATGCACGGATCAACTACAACATCATCGGCAAAATTGCAAACAAATTGACAATCTGCCCAGATTCACAAAGTAGCAAAAGTAGAGCTCGATTGACTCAAGCTAGGGTGCTCCATAATTGCAAACAAAGACATGAATGGATAGAGCACTACAATATTAACAAAACATCCTTACTGATCATCCTCAAAAGAGGCACGGATCACTAGGAAACAACATGAACATATGGCAACATGAGATAAACAGCTCAAGGAATTAGTGGAAATGCTAAGTCCCTGAAAACAGAATTAACAAGTGCACCACTTTACAAGCTTGCACTAGTCATCACATACATCACAAAAATACATGGGTTGCACCTCTGGAAAGATGACAAAACCCTTAACAAAACATATGTAGAGCATCAGGGCATATCATGCACACATTAGTCATGGCAAAAATGACAAAAACCTAAACGGATTAGCAGACCTGACAATTATCTCAAGTAGCCCTCTTCTAACAGCATTTCGGGCATCAAGATGAACTCAAATGAAAATAATGCAATGGAATGAAATGATGTACTCTCTGAGATGAACATTTTGATATGCTATATGCATGAGTCGGAGCTACGGATGCGAAGTTACGGAGTTACGAACAAGGGCATATGGATCTGCAATTTCGGGACTTGAAGAAAAAAACAACCTCTAGCGTTACTGTTCACGGATCTCAGATCTGCACGCAAAACGAGGTCGGCCGGGTCCCTCGCCGGAGTTCGTCGCCGGAGAAGAGGGAGGGGCCGGGCCGGAGCTTGGGGGCGACGCCGGCGAGCTCCGGCGGCTCGGGGCGGCGAGGCGGCGGGGTCGGGACGGCGGCGGCGGACGGCTGGGCGGCGACGGCCGGGCGGTAGCGGCGCCGACCGGAGAAGGAGGCTAGGCGGCGCCGGGCTGTCGCGGCCGGGGGAGACGGAGGCGCGGGCGGCGGCGCAACCCGGGCGGTGGGGCTGGCGATGCGGGCCTCGGGGGCCGGCCACGGGCTCCCGGGCCTGGCGGCGGAGGCGAACGGCGGCGCCACGTGGCACGCCCGGAGTGGCTGCGGGCGGGCGGCGCGCAGGTCGGACATGTCCGGTCCGGCGTGGACATTGTCCGGCGGCGCGAGGAGCGGATCTAGGGTTTTTGGACGAGGGGATCCAGATTTTTCGGGGAGGGGATATAAATAGGCATAGGAGGAGCTAGGAGAGTCCAAATGAGGTGCGGTTTTCGGCCACGCGATCGTGATCGAATGCTCTAGATGATGGAACAGAGTTATGTGGGTTTTGGGCCAAATTGGAGGGGTGTTGGGCTGCAACACACACGAGGCCTTTTCGGTCCCTCGGTTAACCGTTGGAGTATCAAACGAAGTCCAAATGATACGAAACTTGACAGGCGGTCTACCGGTAGTAAACCAAGGCCGCTTGTCAAGTCTCAGTACAATCCAGAAATGTTTAATCCCTACACACGAAAGAAAGCTAGAAAAGACCACCGGAGGAGAACGAAGCGCCGGAATGCAAAACGAACAACGGTGAAAATGCTCGAATGCAAGAGATGAACACGTATGCAAATGCAATGCACATGATGCCATGATATGAGATGCATGACAATGACAACAACACACGGAGACAAAGACCCGAACCCGAGGAAATAAATTAACTTAACGCCGGAAACGGCAAGAGTTGGAGTACAAATTGGGAAAGTTACATCCGGAGTGTTACACTGGACTAGCACTGTTAATGTACTGAAATCCGGCATATTTATATGAAAATCCGGCTTTTTATATGAAATCCATCATGTTTGCGTGAAAGCCGGCCGTGTTTGCACGAATTTCGTCAGGTTCTTGAGTTGTTGTGAAAATGTATGTGGCTAGCGTTGGATGACTGCCCTGTGCATCCGTGTCTGCGGACTGGTCCTTCCCAGTCTGCGGATGAATGCGGGAGATTTTTTGCGGGTTACCACTAAAGATGCCCTCAATAAAGAGTGTTATAAGTTCTGATGTACGTTCCACCGAACACTTGAGGTCTTAAAAATGCGTCAATTTTGCTGAAAGGTGAGCCACTTTCTTTGGTCTGCCCTTATTCTTTCTTTCATTCCATAATATAGAAGTGTCTTTAACACTAGTTGAAGGGCGTAATTATTGAAGCATATTTTGACTGGTTAACACAAGACGAAGTAGTGTGTTCGCGTCCTTTAGATGTTAAAAGTTACATTTTCCCGAGGCTTTTGTAACACAAAGCTCTTGGGGCCTGCTCCAAGTAGTAAGCCAGTAATGTGTCGACACGTTGCAGGAGTAGAAACTTGGTGACGGCTGGACTCTTCTGTTTCCGGACCATGTA